ATTTAATTTTAAAAAAGATAAAATAACATCTGTTATTGATTTTCGAAGCCAGACGTGATCATTTCACAGCCACGGGGTAAAAGATGGAGCATTGAAAATATTTAATATTTATATCTCGTCATTTTATTAAATCCTGGAGGATCAAATAATATCCTTTTATTTTTCTATACCTTTTATAGCTTTATATTTTAAAAGGCTTTTTATTCAAATATTTTCTTTTCATTACGTTTGAAGATTTAAATAAAATTTCTTATCTGGGTTTTGTTAGAAGAGTGTGAACGTACCTTTAGATTATTATTACGCACGTTGAACTATGATGAAATATTGAACTTTTTTTAATAACCAGCATCCTTAAATTTTCATGTACTTTAAATTTCAATATATTTAATTTAATTCTAGTATGCCGATTTTGTTTTAATGTAGCTAAATTATTTTACTGTATTGCGCCTTTTTATGTTAAAAATTAAAGTTCCTATGTGTCTATTATACGAGGGAAAACAAAATATTGCTATTTTGGAGTAACTATTATACCCTCTAAAATGGTTTAACAAAGTAAGAGATTTAAAAACCACTTTATCATCAAGGATCATCTATTTTGGATAGTTTCTTTTTTGATTCATCTCAGTAGCTTTATTTTTATTGGAGTTATTTGTTTTTGAAGAAGAAAGTAACGATTTACAACAATTACAGCATTAAAAGCATGCCTTTGCTTTTGGTCCTAATCAATACACCTATGAAAAAGTGTTTATTGTTTTTGTAATGTCGCTGTCAGTTGAAAAGTCATATTAGTAATGTTTGTTGGTGGTTACTCTAACAGAGATGGTTTTATGTAGACTTTTCAATGACAGTGACATTACGAGAACAATAAGCACTATTTCATCAGTATGTTGGTAGGAGTAAAAGCAAAGGCGTATTTTTAATGTTAAATTTGCTCTAAATTGTTATACTGTCTTCTTCAAAAGCGAATATCCCCAAAAAAATAAATTATCGAGAAGTAATATAGTACTTTTATGATAAAATTCATTTTAAATTCCTTATTTTGTTAAACTACTCCACAGGATGTTTCAAACTTTCGGCAAAATATCAACATTTTGTTTCCCCCCGTATAAAAGACAGTATGATCAGATGGTGACTTCAATTTTTAGTTCTAAAAAAGGCTAAAATTGACAAATTGTTTAAAAATCAACAAAATCGGCCCACTAGAACAAAATATATTGAATTTTAAATTATGTACAGTACGTCCCCGGATTGTCTTTACAAGAGGAAACATTTCTTTTATTATTGACATTTTGAGAAAAATGCATTCTTCATAGACATTTTTGCTTGTTCTAAAATGGTTAATCCCGTTTATACTTTCCAAATTTCCATACCGTTTTAGAGAAAATTAAAAAAATATGAAAATATAGTTGAATTTTTTCAAAGTCTGGAAAATCAAAATTTCGTTTTCATTCTTTGATATATTGTTATTGATAGATTTTTAATTAACATCATATCTTTTGTTTTAAAATTTTAAAGAATCACAAAATTTATGCTAGGGACAGGGTGATAATACTTTTCGGAATATGTGATACTTTAACGATAGTAAAAAATATGACGTTAATCAAAATTATTAATAACCATCTATCAAAAAATGAAATCAAAATTACATTACCATAATAACGCCTTTTGATTTTTAGGGCTTCAACCATATTTTCACGTTCTTTTCAATTTTCTTTAAAACGGTATGAAAACTTGGAAAAATATAAACGGGATTAACCATTTTAGAACAAGCAATTTTTTATGAAGAATGCTTTTTTCCCAAACTGTTAATAATAAAAAAGTGTTTTCTTTTGTAAAGACAATCCGGAAACATACTGTATATGAAAATTTTGTGAGTGAGTGTAGAATACTTAATAAATATTTTCTTTTTGCTTTTTACTATACAGGGTGTCCCAGAAATAAGTGCAAGTATTTTAAGGGGTGGTAGATCTCGATAAAAGAAACATATTTTCTCTTTATCGTTTTTCGAATAAGTCTAAAATAACGGAGATATTTTACTTTGAAAATTTCCAAAAAAAAATTTTTTGCTCAAATTTTGAGAACCACTGGATTTTTTCTGGATTTTCTTTCTTGTAAAATTAATCTACCACCTATGTTGCCATATTATCAAGAAATTATGTTTTTTAACTAAAAACAAAAAAAAATCAATTTTCAAAAATTTTCTTTCGCGAATAGAACCTCATAGGCGTGTTTCTGGGGTTGAACTATACGACCAGTTAAAATACTTGCACTTATTTCTGGGACACCTTGTATAGTAAATTTTATTTATTAAAAAAACTAAATATGTCTAATGTGTCTTGGATCACTAGGTATATATTACATACCGTGTGATATTTTTGTTTTAATATCAAAAAAGTAATTTTTCATTTACATTATACATTAACCAAAGTAATACTCATTGTTTTTTAATCCCATCGGTAACTGTTCTAAAATATTCCGTTTTAAATAGTTCTTAGGTTAGTTTAGTAGTAGAAAATAACTTTGTATATACAGGATGTTCATAAAATTCCGAGGCAAATAACCTAGAACGACAGCTGTGTAATTATTAGGAAGTTATTTGTAGTTTTAATTTTTGTACACCCTGTACTTGTATTTATCTTAGTGGTTAGTTTTGGATATAGTTACATGGACAATCTACTTTGTAATTTATTGTTATTTAACCAATTGCATCCGACAGCTAATTATGCAAATACATTTTTTTTTGTATTTTCGAATTTTAAAGTAAAATACAAGGAAATATGTTGTGTATAATTTTGTAATTATGTCACCATGTATAAATAATTTGTTTTGTTGAATTCTCTCTCTTGTTTTCTTTATTTACAGATGTAATTCTTTAACCTTAGAGTGTTAATTTGGCAAGTTTCTTTTATTAAAACGTCCATCACCAACATTCTGTGTATTCTTTCTAGCAACTAAAATACATAAACAGTCTGTTTGAAGCTGCTGTAAGCGACGATAATTTTTTTTTATGTCGAATCAAGTTTGGATGTCCAGTGAATAAAATAATTTTGACATATGCCAGTGTCAACTGTCATCAAAAAGTATCTATTAAATTTATTCTGAAGTAGTTTTTCTCTCTTGTAAATTTATTCTACTATCTATGTTGCCATAATATTATGAAGATATGTTTTTTAACTAAAAATCAAAAATATTTCCAAAATTTTTTTAAAAAAATTCAAAAATATTAAAAAGAAAATTTTCGGGGAAAAACCTCATAGACGTGTTTCTGGGGTCGAAATATATGAATAAAAGTTTTACCTAAAAATATTTGCACTTATTGAAGACTCACCCTGTATAATAATCATATAATAAGTTAACTCCTGAATACTTTGACGTAAATAGAGATATTTATTTGACACTATTTTTCTGTTTATATGAAGAATCTGAAACTACGCCAATGACGTCAAATTTTGGAAAAAAGGTAAATATCCAGCACGTAATGGTTTTTTCGGTGGGAGCTATCATTTTTTTATTAGGTAGTAATTTAATAACAGATAGGTATTGGGTATATCATATTTTGAGAAAGCTCATAAAAAGGCCAATAAATGAAAAAATAATATACAGGGTGTCCCATTAAAAAAACATAAATTAAGTCATATTTAGAAAATGATAGCTCCCATCGAAAAACTAGGTAGCCACTGGATTCTACGGACAGGACACTATACCGGGTGCGTCTTGAAAGTGGCTCACCCCCTATAACTTTTTTATTTTTTCAGATAAAAAAACGAGAATTGGTATGTTATTATATGACATAAATTAGGATTGGTTGACGTATTCAATTGTTTTTGGTCGCTTCCTGTTTCACCGGAAATGACACACACAGCTTTGATTTTTAAATGCCACCCTTGGTATTTTTTTACTTTATTCAATAGAAAATGAAGAATGACATCATATGTCAACTTTGGCGTTCTTGCTTAATAAAAAAGCGTATTTTAAAATTCAATCTAGAGTGCTATGGCTATGTTAGAAACACTAATTCTTAATCAAGGAGCCTTGGAAAAATAGATTTGATCATCTACTGTTTTTAGTGTCTTGTCCTGGCCAGTTAGAAAATGCTCAAATCGTATTTTTAATCATATCTCAATTTTTTCAAATGGAACTAGGGTGGCTCATTAGCATATTTGGAAAAAGAATTTTTTTACGAATAATTTGATACCAGACACTTGGTATTTTCAGTCAAATTTTCGTTACGAACCGCAAGTTATAATTTCAAATAAACCATATGCGAAAATGTCAAAAGTTGACATATGATAAGTCATTTAATTCAGAGTGTTATTTTCTATCGAATAAAGTAAAAAAATACCGAGGGTGCAATTTAAAAGTTGTAGTCATTTCCGGTGAAACAGGAAGTGACCGAAAACAATTGAATACGTCAATCAATCCTAATTTATGTCATATACTAACATACCCAATCTCGTTTTTTTTAAATGAAAAAATAAAAAAGTTATAGGGGTGAACCACTTTGTTTAGGGGTGAACCAATTGTTTCACCTTTTCGGTCACTTTTAAGATAACCGAGATACAAGGGGAGTCGAAAAATGCAACATTTTCAAATTCGCCCTTTATTTCAGGAACTAATGGCCTAGGACAAATCTGTGTGTAGCATCTTTAGTTTCATAACAAAGTAGACCAAAGTCTACCTCTACTCATAAACGAGAAACCCTCTAAAACACACGAAAATGGGACGCCCTGTATATTTTTTCTATTAACCAACATTAGAAAGAAACTTTTTGGCAATTTATCTAAGTGGTTTTTTGGTTTTAAACATAATTATTCGAATATCATAGTTTTTCAGTGTATATGATTGATCATTATCATATTATAGTAGATGGCTTACACCAACTTTCAAACAGACTCATTGATTATAGCAGTAATAAACATCAGCTTCTCTGTAGATTGTTGCACGTTGGAACATGTTCGACACCCGAACCAAAAACTGATATTTTATTTTTTCCATTCAAGTGTGTCAGATACGCCCACAGACCATCTGGGTGCCATCCAGGGTGGTTTCCAGGAGATGGATGGCAAAACGCACAGTGACAAGTTTGAACAGCTGAAGGTAAAGAAGGAAGACACGTGTAGCGTTAAAAAAATAGTGTAGTGAACTTCGATTTTTCTTAGATTAGTTTTATGTTGGTAACGCCTATATAGATTGGTAAAAGTCTATATAGATGGAAGTGTTGCTATTAAATTAGTTTTTTGATTAAAAACACTAAGAAAGGAGGTTATCAACAAAATTACAGCTACCGGGATGGAGAATTAATATGGCTGACTTAATTTCTTTGTCAGTGACGTACTAATTTTACTTAAAACGTGTGGGAATTTAAATTGAGATAGACTCCATAATTTTGCTGGTTTTGTTTTGCTTTGAGCCAGTCAATGTTATTAGTTATTAAAATTAAAAACATATTTCTAGTAAGATAGTAAGAATTAAAGTTATTATAGGAATTATTTAATAAAAAATACATATATGTACCGCACTAAAACATCTAAGTCAAACTGACTTATCCTAGTTATATTTGACAAGTAGTAAATGAATGCGAAAATGTAGGAATAAAAACATAATTAGTACAAATTCTGAGTGTTAAATAAGTGCAAATATTTTTAGGGCTGGTAGATATCGATAAAAGAATCATATTTTCTCTTTACCGTTTTTCATGTTTTTTTTGTCTGGAAACAAAACAATAGCAAGCTACACAAGTAACTTACCGATAGGTAAAATACGTTATCGCCCATCCCTAGTCATGACATCGATTCTCTCTAATAAATGAGTTTAAAAATACTATTTAGCCTCCTTCCTTGGTTTTTTTACTCAAAATTAGTATAAAGGAACGTATTGACAGTTGAAATGAAATTCAGGACTAAATCTCAGAGAAATCAAGTAAAATGAGTTACATACGGTAGATGAGATTGGACTTTTCACTCAAACAAATAGAAGATATTTACTTAGATGAAGAATTTAAGAATAAGTAGGTATACAAGTATTGTGAAATTTTATCGAAAAAAAAACGGCGTCATCGAAGGCTATGAAATGAAGATCGCTGTCATTTTATATGGGAAATGTCATCGACTGTCATTTCCAAGCCAACTGGACGCCGTTATTTATCACACGGTAGAATTTCATAGTTCATTGAATGTGTGATATTATTTTTTTGGCAAATTATGACTATACAGGGTGTTGCAAAATGCACCGTCAAATTTCAGGGAGTGATTCTTTGTCAAAAAATATGGAAAAAAGTTTCTTTAAATATGGGTCCAAAAATATGCATAGCTTTAAAAATACAGAATGCTCATAGTTATTTTGTAATTATCTTAAATACTCTGTGTAGCCGACTTTCTTGAAATTTGTCAATGTTATTTCTGGTAATAATGACCTGTCGATACGTCACTTAAGTTTATAAGTTTATAACTACTATAATATCTACTAAACAATATGCCCAGGAAAATGATTTTTCTATCTGTTTTATGTAAAAATCCACCGGAAAGGACACGTTAATTATGGAGATCGTGTTGATTTTAGTTGTTGAAAGAGATTAACATAAAAAAAAGTGATTGCCCAAAGCGTAGCTATCTAAATGGGTTGTTTACATGTCCCATTTGCACCTGGGGATTAGCCACTGGAGGCATTTTTTCCACGATTTTTCTAATTCCATTAATTTAAACAACTCAATCGCGTGCCATGTTCCGGACAAGGGTAATCATTTAAGGGACCATGCCATAATTTTTTCGTTGAGTTTATTTATAGCAAAGCAAATTTTTGAAAAAAAAATCGTCATTTGTTACACAAATTACGTAAAATGGTAGTAGGTATATTTAAACAATAATTAGCTAAACATCGCTATCGTAGTTTTATCTCATTATTTACATTAAAACTGGTTCTAAAGACGCGTCTACACATGCCGTTTTACCTGTTCAGTCAAAATGTACGAAGTAAAACCTGGTATGTAGACGAAAAAAATGGAGGCTTTACTTGAACTGAATTAAGACAGAAGAGAATCTAGAGCACTGAATAATTATAATAATAATTTATTTATAAATCCATATAAATAAATAGTATACGTTATAAAGTCAAAGACTTGTTCGTATATTATTATTCAAATTATTGAATATATTAATTATGAATCTGAGCACGGGATTATTCAGTTTTACATCAAAACGTCCTTTTGCCTACACTGAAAAAAATTATAAGTCAAAAAATAATCTATATACCGGGTGCGTCTCAAAAGTAGCTCACCCCTATAACTTTTTTATGTTTTCAGATAAAAAATCGAAATTTGGTATATTAATATATGACATAAATTAGGATTGATTGACGTATTCAATTGTTTGGTTTGGTTTTACTTTATTCGATAGAAAATTACACTCTGAATAGAATGACATTATCTATCATATGTCAACTTTTGACATTTTCGGTTTATTTGAAATTGCAACATGCGATTCATAACGATAATTTGACTCGAAATACCAATTGTGTGGTACCAAATTATTCCCAAAAAAATGCTTTTTCCAAATATGTTAATGAGCCACCCTCGTTACATTTGAAAAAATTGAGATGTGATTAAAAATACGATTTGGGTAGCTTTTAACCGACCTGGACAAGACACGAATAACATTAGACGATCAAATCTATATTTCCAAGGCTCCTTGATTAAAAATTAGCGTTTTTAACACAGCCATGGCACTCTAGATTTAAATTTAAAATTCAATTTTGTTTTAAGCAAAAATGTCAAAAGTTGACATATGATATGTCATTCTATTTAGAATGTCATTTTCTATCGAATAAAGTAAAAAAAAATACCGAAGATGCCATTTAAAAATCAAAAGTTGTAGTTATTTCCGGTGAAACAGAAAGTGACAGAAAACAATTGAATACGTCAATCAATCCTCATTTATGTCATATGCTAACATACCAAATTTCGTTTTTTATCTGATAAAAGAAAAAAGTTATAGGGGTGAGCCACTTTTGAGACGCACCCGGTATATAAAATGCTAATGTTTTATCTGTGTTGTCTGTACTGAAGTAACGACTTGCTCTAGAAAGTTGCTTTTTTTACTAAAAGATAGCTAATTGCCTCTTCTAAAAACTGTCGTCGCCGGATTTTTTGTTTTTCATTTAACTAAAAAAAGTAAAAAGTATTTTTTTTCCTGATGTGGCGGATGCGCCAGGCTTCAACTAGTATTGATATATTACAGCATCTTTAATAAGTGACTTAAAAATCTAATATTTTTGAATAGTTAAAAAATAATGTGATTTCATTTTTTTAGAGATATTTAATGATTAGTACCAAACGACAATCGACACTATTTTCCCAATTATAAATACAATTTTGTAATAAAACTCCATTTTTTTTTTCTTTTATACTTCACTAAACACAGTCAAAAAATTCCATATTTTAAGCTAAGGAATCGCCTAAATTTTTTGGCCCTTATTCACTTACACCCTGTATACTAATGCAGAGCATGTCTCAAATGACGGATTAAAATTTCACGTCAATAAGGTTGACGGGGGAGTATTCTGAACGTCGCTTAATCAGCTTCTAACTAACCTAGTTAGTTAGTAGCTGATTGCTGGAATTTATATTAAGTAGCATATGATTAAAACAGTTTATGATTGAACGGGCTCTATACAGGGTGAGTTTTAATAAGTACAAATATTTTCAGGGCTGGTAGGTCTCGATAAAAGAAACTTATTTTTTCTTTACCGTTTTTCAAATAAGTCCAAAATAACCGAGTTATTTTCAATTTTTTTTTCGCGGAAAAAACTCATAGACGTGTTTCTGGGGTCGAAATATACTATCCCTAAAATATTTGCACTTATTTAAGACTCGCCCTGTGTAGCATTTTCAAATACGTAGCTATCAGCAAGGATTGAAATAGTTAGCAATACTGTGTTAGAGGAAGCGAAAAATTTTAGCAAATATTTGTCAATTCATTGACGTTTATTTTTTTACTATTTTTGAAAATTTACATGTTTTGGCTGTTATTTGTGAAATCGACGTGTTTTTCAATGTAAAAAATTATTATTTTTCAATACAACTCTAGTGTTCAACATGGAGAAGGTATACTTTTATTATTACGGCATATTTTCATCCCGGCATTCAAGACAAGCTTAAAAATTGAACATAATCGCCGAAGTAACTTTTAATCAATACAGAGTCGCAATTTTGGGAACAGTTTAATTATTTAAAAAATGTCTATACCTATGTGGCGGATTCATCTATCCAAAAAAATCCTTTATGGGTATTTCGCCACTGCACTGCCATAATAAATATAATAATAATAATGTATTGCTCATGCATCTGTAGATGTTAGTAATGTATGGCAATCGCTTCTTTGATTTTAAAAAACATAACATAAATAAATATAACATACGTAAAATTTAAAAATATTCATACAGAAAGTTTGGGCTTTTTGGTTTTACCTTATTAAGTAATTGTTATCAGGTAGTAATTGTTAATTTTGAAGTTTAACTTAATATAATGTCATTTTAACAGAACGTCAACGATTTCTTGTAGACGTATCTTTAAAAGACGTTTTAAAAAGTAAAGTGTTCTCGAATAGTTCAATTTAAATATTTTAAATAGTTTTTTTCTTGATTCTTTATATTTTTTTGCTTCCGACGACGGAAAGAGAAAACTTTCCGAAACGTTAAGCATTTTTTTCTTTGTTAGCAAATTTTTATTACTGTAAACACAACTTCTGACAAGCAGCGTCCGTTTAGGTTTAGCGCAGAAGTGTTTACAAAAAATAACTATTTTATTTTGTAAATGTTTCTTGCAGTGCAGTGGCGAAATACCCATAATGGATGTTTTTTGGATAGAGTATAATTATTTATTAAATATTAGAAAAGTATAGTTAGGCGATTTCAAAATATTGTTAACCAGGAACTAACAAAACGAAGGTGGAACAAGATAATAAGCTCATATAAGGGCATATTTCACTTTTTATATTTATAAAAATATGTGGAATGTTTTTTTTTATTTATTGCCAAGCAAACGAACAAAATCAGAATAGTCAACTATTTCAATCATTCTTGGCCGCTCCGTATTTATCAATATA